TCTTTTTTTCCAAGCCACCTGGTTGTCTCTCATATATTAGCAGTAATGAAATATTCAAACTTGTTATATCTGTGAGACTTTCAGCACTTCTACTACCTCCAGCTTTTCTTTAGTTTCATTCTACAGTGGCAATTATATTGGCTTTTAATTTAATTTGCTGTATTATAACATATTATAACATAGTTGTTTACAAGATAGAATATAACAGCAGGGATTGAGTACAATGCAGGGGCACAAAGATGATGTGAGGCCTGGAACATCTTCCATATGAGGAAAGACTGAGAGACCTGAGACTGTTCAGACTAAAGAAGAGAAGGATGAGATGGGAATATCATGATTGTGAACATCTGAAGGAGTCAAGTCAATGGGGGCAGACTCTTTAGTGCCATGCAGTATAGAACAAGGGGCAACAGGCAGAAACTGAAACACAGGAAGTTCCATTCAAACAAACAAACAAAAAAACTTTATGGTCAGAGTGACAGAGCACCAGAACAGGCTGCCCAGAGAGGTTGTGGACTATCCTTCTATGGAAATATTCAAGACTTGTCTGGATGCTTTCCTATGCAACATATTGGAAGGAACCTGCTTTCTCAGGGGTTGAACTTGATCTCTAGAGGTCCTTCCCAATCCCTATGATTCTGTGGTTGTGTGAATTAAAATGTGTGTATTATTTTTCTTTCCTAATGTAAAAATTTGTTGTATTTTCACATTGTGTAGTTGCATTTCTGTATTGAATTAACTGATACCACATCGGATTAAGTACAGAGTAATACACATGTAAACATATATCTGGAATTAATATATTTTATAAAAACAACCAAACCTTTTGACTTAATGCAAAGAGGGCCTTACAAATCCATGTCAAACTATGGAGAAATCTCTATCATATTTTATGACATATGTTTTGTACATCAGTAAAGTAGGTGACTGAATATCTTCTTACTCATAATAAAGAAGTTTGTTTTGTAGACAAAAGCAAGGATATATATACAGTTCTAGTATACCCTCTGCAGTGTATTCATAACTTCTGAGATTTTTATTGCCTGAATTTTATCTAAGCAGTTGTTATATAGATTAGAAGTTTTGAAATGTAGCTGAGTGGTGCTAAAGGTTCACAAATTGGACCACACTGGAGAATGAAAGGAAGAAAATAGTTCTAGCATTTGCTCTTATTAGGGAATGTAAAAGTGCTTCCAGTGATTTATAAAATTTTCTTAAACTCATGATATAGGATTTTTTATTTGCTTGTTAAATGTAGTTCCTCTAGAAAGAGACATACAGAAAATTTCCTGAACTCTAACACACTAGCATTTTGACCCTCTTCAGTATGCGTGCTTGCCAGAGGGATCTGCTGTGTGCTGCAGTTTCTGAGAGCTGAAAGGCTTCACACGTACTGCATCCATTATACTCCAGATGTAATCAGCAAACTCATCTCATCTTTCTCCTTTTAATTTCCACCTAGGGACTGTTTCAGTTTTCCCTCTTTTTCTGTTATGTGAACCCATTAACTTTATTTTCTTTGCTCATATTGTTGTGTTATTCTGGCTTTCATACCACTCTTTTTGAGTTCTATTTCATCCCAATAGTTTTGGTTTCTGACAGAATAGTTGGTATTTAGAGCCTCTGAAGAAAACTCTGTGCCTCTTAGGGGCATGCAGAGTGTTAGGTTCCTTGGATGATAACTTTGGACAATTGAGAGAAAATTCTGCTAGGGAATTTAGCTACAAACTATCCCTCCAAATTATTTCACTACCATACACACCTGACAGGTGAGTACATAAGTTCAACTCTGTGCTTCTGTGTACAGGAGACAGGTGTACGTCGAACACACACTTCATTAAGTCATTAAATAAAACCATCCTCACAAGATAACAAAATCAAAGAATGGCTGATGCCGGAAAGGGCCTCTGTGGATCATCTTGTTCAACTGCATCTCTTATGCAGAACCATCTAGAGCTAGTTGCTCAAGTCTAGGTCCTGATAACTTTTGAAAATCTCCAAGGAGAGGGACTCCACAACCTCTCTGGGCAGTTGTGCCAGTGTTCAGTCACTCTCAGAATAACTGATTCATGGAGTTGTTTCTTCCTCAGTGTAGGACTTTACATTTCTCCTTGTTATCTTCATGAAGTTCCTGTAAACTCTTTTCTCTAGCCTGTTGAGGTCCCTGTGGACAGCAGCACAACCCTCTGGTTTATCTGCCACTCTTCCCAGTTCTATGTTATCTTAAAACTTGCTGAGTGTACACTTCACCCTATCATCCAGAACATTAATGAAGATGTCAAGTAGGACTGTACCCAGAATTGATCCTTAGGGTACACTTCTACCTACTGGCCTCCAAACAGGTTTTGTGCCACTGATTACTACCTTCTGTGTCCTTTCCATTCAGCCAGTTTTCAGTCCCCCTCACTGTTTGCTCATCTGTCCCCTACATCAACAGCTTCTCATCAAAGATCTTCAAGGAGACAGTGTCAAAAGCCTTACTAAGATCTAAGTAGACAATATCTACTGCTTCTCTCATCTCCCATGCCAGTCTTCCTTCATAGATTATCAAGCTGGTAAAACATGACTTCTCCTCGGTGAATCCACATTGACTACTCACTGTCTTTTTCTTATCCTTCATGTGCCTGGTAATTGTTTCCAGGACTTGTTGCTCCATCACATTCCCAGGGACTGAACTGAGACTTACAAGCTGTTGTTTAACCAGGCAGCAGCTATGTACCACACAGCTGTTCACTCACTCCTCCCCAGTGGAAATGAAGAGAGAATTGGAAATTATTAGAGGCATCCCAGCATGTTGACAGCCTGACAGGGATTTGGGGGAACATCATTTGGGGGAACAGCGACTTTAAACAGCCAGAGATATTCTTCTTTTATAGAACCAGCATCCTAAATTACATGTAGTAAAGGGTATTCTGTTGCAATGAAAACTTGAATGTTCCTCAGAAAGATTTCTGACTCTAGCCACTATTGCCATTATTGAAGAAAAGTGATTTAAGCAAACCACAGAAATTAGAGTATTAGGCCATTTTCCTCTGAATAGTGAAGAAAAACAATAAATATATATTTGGGTTTTTTTGCTTGGTTCTTTAGAGAAATGGAATTACTCTTAAATGTTTGCCTGATTGTTTTCCAAGATCCTTCTAGAAATTCTAAAATCATGAGGTAATATTTATTTGTGATTATATTTATGTCAGTATTTGAATGTGAAATTAGCTAGTCAGAACTTCCCTATGTATTACTCACAGTCATCCAATTGTGTACTCTTTTCTCAACCAAGAGACTGATAGGTAGTTTACACTTTCTTCCTGTTTCCAAGGGATAGATTTTTCAAGACAACGAAAAAAGATCATTTGGGAAAAAAACTGACTTAGGTGACTTTAAATGAGTTTCTCAAGCCACAGATAAATATTCCAAGGAGAATCTTTCTGGAATAATGTAATGTACAGTACTAAAAATGTTTTCATTGACATACTGGATGGTTTTGAATTGCATGTACAGGTAAAAGTGGTGACTTGCTCTTGAGCAGCTTAAAACTAGCAAGAGTGATCCATATTCAATGGATACATTCTTTGCTTTGCATCATGCTTAAACAATATTCAGTTTAAACGGATGGGTTCTTGAATGAAGTAATGAATTATAACTTTATTATAAAGAAGCAGGCTTGTGATTGATTTTCTTAATTTTCTTGATTGTCCATAAATTAGCTGGATATCTAAGGTCATTTCATTCCAGAATTTACATTTCTAAGAATATTTTACAATTTCCTAGTTACTTTTATCTTTCTTCTTACATCTGTGTTTTCTCTAGAAAATTGGACTATAGAGGTTTTTTCTAATGAAGTTTTTCATTCTTATTCTCTGTTCTTAAGCATTTCTGTCACCTCTCCTATAAAAGAAAAAGGAATCATATTAGGAATCTAAAGAAAATGAGAAAAAAAATCACCATCTTTGACATCCTGCCATTTCTGAGACACAAAAGACTGTTGTAAGTCAGCAGTCAGCTCACAGAGTCTGAGAATGGAAATAAGAAGAGTGTTTTCTCACTGCTCTCTGCAGGATCCTCTTTCAGCAGATCAGGGGTCAAATGCATTTACAAAACAGCAAGAGATAAATTTTTCATTGTTTTACTGTATTCCTGAGGAGTATCAACTTTACAGACCCACTTGCTGCCCTCTTGGAAACACAAATGCGAAAAAACTAAACTAAACTAAATTAAAATTAAATTAAAAAAAAAAAAAAAAAAAGCCTTTCATGTAATTTTGTCTTTGAGACTAATTAAAGCGCATAATGAAATGTGGGAAGCAAAAAATTTTCCCTAGTTTCTAGCTGTCTGATGTGTCAGCAGCAGGGGAGGTAATGAATTTCAGGATGGAGCCCAAACTGATGATAGTTTCTGGTAATGCAGGAGTAACATTTTGGCCTTGGAGTGTGAGGAATGCAGGATAAGCTAAACAATTCAGCAGTCTGTTAGCTTAAAACACTCTTTATTCTCTAATTGGAAGGATCATAAGATTCATTTTAGTAAAGGTTGCAAAAACAGTTACCTATTCCACCTGAACGTATGCTCTAATCTGCCAAGCAGACATCTCATGGTGCTGTGCAAAAGTTTCCCTTTTGTCCTATGGCATTATCTGTTCATCCCCAAGAAAGTGCTGTAATGGTTTCAGTCAGCGTATTTGTTATCTGCTATCACTGGTGAATTCTTGGAGATTTTATTGCATATGTTCTTTTCTGTTGTCTCAAATATCCAGTTAGGGCAGTAATGTCAGAAGGAGTTTAAAATGGAAACAGAAACCCTCAGTCATAGAATAAGGCTGACACATTCTAAAAATTGTGTAGTTAGTGGTAAAATTACCATGATGAGCTGCAGAATACGTAGAAAATACAGTGTTTGGTTTTCTATCTGTTGCTTGGGATGAAAATTATGACTTAAAATCAATAGCATGTACATAGGCATTTTTTTCATTTCAGACTTTTATTTCTATTTTTATTGCATTTCAGAAACTCAACTTACTGTATGAAAGTGTCCATTTCGCTGACAGTGGGTGAAAATGACACTGGACTCTGCTACAATTCAAAGATGAAATATTTTGAAAAAGCTGAACTTAGCAAAAGCAAGGAAATCTCATGTCCTGAAATAGAGGACTTTTTGTTTCCATTTAGGGAGCCTGAGATTCTGTGGTACAAGGTAAGGAATTCAAAAAGTTTTTGCCTTTCACCAGTATGCTGTCAATATTCTAATGATTTTCATGATCTAAATACTATGTGAAACTTTCACTGTTTTAGACTTTCTTAAGAGCAGGCAGAATGAAAGATACAAAAGAATGAGCTAGTCCCTCTTAGATGAAGAGGGACTCCGCTGCTTCCTTTGATAAATTTTAGGTCTGCAAACAAGTATCTGGTAACAAAAGAGATAAAGAATAAAAGTGTTATAGATCCAGTTTGGCTTGATGTTAAAGAAAAGCCATATGAGCTGCATATACAGCAACTGATTGTGCTGTATTAGAAGAAGCACTTAAGGATATTTCTGGAAACTTCAACATAAAATCTGTTTAGAAAAATGGGAATTGAATAACTATGTGCACATTTGTCTGAATGAATGAGTTATTTAGCAGCATAAAACCCAAAACTTTTAAAAATTTGATCTGATACATTAGAGTTTACTTGGAATTACCAGAGATTTGGTCGTCGAAACCTTTATTTCAATATTGTGTTCTTATTATCAGATTGTTACTTAAGGGTCAAGTCCCAGGAAAGGTGTTGCCTGTCGGTGGCTCACAAGAGCCTTGCAGAGCAGTCTCTTGAGTTCTGGATTTCTTGCAGTTAGCAGGAAATACTCAGTGCCTTTGTGCTATAATGCATACAATTTAACACCACTGAACAGTTTAGTAAATCTGAAAATTAGGTTATGTATATTGTGTAGCATGCTCTGTATAGTACAATGTTCTCGTACCACTATATGCTGATATGCATTCTAACTATGTTTTAAAAGTCTGATAATTCACTAAGTATAGTGCACAAGCATGTGTTATCTAATAAAAAAAAACTTGTAATCTAGAAAGTTTCTGGCTAAATTTACTAGCAGCATATCTAAGAGGTATGTAACCAACTATTCACTTATATTTATCTTGGATTCCATGTGTGTAATACAATACATACCTGAAGATGTATCAAATTTAAAACTGTATCTGGGTTCTAAAAATATCTCAAAAGATATTTGATTTTTACAAGTCATTTACAGCATTTATATGAACAAGTTGTAACATACTCTCATTTTGTTTAAATAAAAGGAGAAAATTTTCTTTGCAATCTCTAGCTACTTGTGATATAATGGTCATGGATTACATACATAAACGTAATGGCAAATAATTAAATGAAATAGGAGACCCCCGATCAAAAATAAAAGCAAAACTACCAAATAAATAAAATCCTTTTCTTTTTTGTTTTGAGAATGAGAAAAACATGTTAGTTGATAAAATTTTCAGTATTTTTTTTCTTATAAAATTTTACTTAACTGAACTGTATTTTGAGATATTTAATGTACGTAAAGTTCGTAACTACTTCTTGTCTGGCTTTCCTTTCTTTGAGCAGCATTATCAACAGTGGTTTGAGTGTAAGAACATAGTCACTGAATTGTTATGTTATCTTTAAACAGGAATGCAAGTCAAAGACATGGAGATCAAGTATTGGGTTTATAAAGGACACTCTCGTCATTCGGGAAGTTAGAGAGGATGACATTGGAAATTACACTTGTGAGGTAAAATATGGCATCTTTGTTGTCAGAAGAACTACGGAATTAACAGTTACAGGTAATCACAGGCTCTTACTACATCTTATATGTAGAAAAAAATGTATAATTTTGTGATTAAACAAACCTAACCATTCTGTGATTCTGTAATTTGAGTTGTGTGTATTTGAATCATTCTACCTACATAAGCCACTCTTGTTCAAAACTTTGCTGAGTGTGTGAATGGCTGATACATCAAAGTTGTCCTGAACACAGTAGTATGTGCAATGTGATTAAATCTGAGTTTTGATCTACTGCAAAAGCTTCTGAATAGGTCATGTTTTTGAGTAGGAAATGTGGATAAGGATAACCAAAAAATAAGATCATTGAAGTCATCATACTTTTCCTTGTGGTTAAAAGCCTTAGCACATAAGAATCTCTGTAGCTCCAACCCAACTACAGCAGCTCTGATTGCCTTGGGGCATGACATGAGCTGTAGGTGTAAACCAATATCCCAGAAAGATCTGTGCAGCAAGGTAGTATAAATGTGGGTGTAGCATTTTTTCACTGGTGTTCTTTCCCAGCTTTCTGTGATTTATAATTCAAGGACTTCCTGATCTCAGTTGTCAATTAACTTATTTTCCATTAGTCCAGTTATTTTTTTAATTATTTATTCTCAGATTTAAAATTATTACGAGGTATCAAGTTCCAGTAATTATGTAACATAAATAAATTGTGTCAACTCATAAGCAGCGACTGAATGAGATGCATTTAATATTATCTCCATTTAAGACTACCTTACCAATATGTAAAATCCTTCGTAGCTGAAAACAATGTATGTATCATAGTAGTAATGTGCACTACAGAATTATATGAAGATAGAAGCTACAGAATTATATGAAGAACATTAGCTTTTAAATTCCTTACTACACCACAAACCTCATTTTTTCAAACAGAGAAAGAGTATATGTGTATTTTTAAGTAAGGTAGAGAATTAACTTCTAGAATTATGGGATGGTATTGGAACACAGGAAAACATCACAGTCGATGCAGCATAGTGAAGTTCTATAGAATCTTCCCTGAAAAAAGGGCAGAAAATGTATATGCCTGGGAAACTGGATGTGAAATAAATTTGTGTGGTTCACAAAGATGCTTGCAGATATAAGCACTTGCTTGAAGTATCAAAAAAAAAAAAAAAAAAAAAAAAAACAGGAAACAAATCTTAGAGAAGGATTTTATGGGCTATTGTTGACTATTTAAATAGTTAAATTAGTAATCACAGTTATGATATGTAATAATTTCTTTGTATGGTAAAAAGTTTGCTTTTGTGGTGAAAAGTTTGCTCTTTGTTTTGATGTATCCCATTTACTCTACAATATCAGAAATTAAAGTGAATTATGGTTTGCAATTTTCTTCCATTAGATCAGTCTGGAAATCATATTGTTTATGTTGTTTTGAGAGAATTCTGGTGATCAATCATGTTTATTTAAGTTCAGTATCCAGGATCTCTTCATAATTTTTCCATTGTATGGAATTGATTTATTTCGTCAGTACAGACAGGCAATTACTGCTCAGTGATTAAGCTCATGGTAAACATCCATATCCATATAGAGTCCTCAAGAATTTGATTTACACCAGAATGAGGTTGTCAATTACTTCTGCAATATATGATGTGTAGACTAAAAGAGTACATATTTTTTCAGTCTTCAAGTTAACCTTCTGCCTCTGCAATTGGTGCTCCACTGCCTAGCAGTATTTCAAGCAGACTTAAGTCTGAGAAAATGGAGGAAAAAAAAGCATTGCAACTAGATGTTGCTATCTGTAATAATAGTTTCAAAAAAATAATTCAGGCCTTGTGGTGTAGGTAGGATTTCAGTGATTAATGTTTAACTAGATAGAGACAGAAAGAGACTTGGCTGATTTCGATGTGTTAAAAATAAGTGAATGCATAATGAGAGAATTATATAGTTTCCATCATGCAAATCCTGGCAAATTTGAAGACAACCTCCACAGAAGTAAACTACTCAAATAGCATTGTAGTTCTTCATATCATTTTTATAATATTATGGGATGAACTGTATAGTAGGTTTTCCTCTGTAGTACAGATTTAGTAAAATTTAGTAAGTAACTTTATAGAAGAGATTCAGGTCTTACATGCTTGCCTTATGCTTTGTCTCTGTGCTGAAATACAATTTGAATTGCACTGGAAATACGTTGAGGAGTGTACAGTATAAGTGGATTTTAAAATTTATTGAAGAAAGAAGAAAACTTGTTAATGGCAGTAATGTTGCACTAACATTTATAAATAATACACAGTATCTTCAAACATTGCATACCTGTTCCTTACCAAAAGTATACACTTAAATTCCATTCCAAAATATGATTTCTTCTTATCATATGCATCTTTCAGATTTTTTTTTTTTGTTATTATTCTTTTTTGTTTGTTTGTTTGCTTGCTTTAGGATAAATCCTTTTTCTTTGCTTTTCATTCTTTTGAAAATCAGAATCTCATATTGAAAATACATGATCATCTGTATGATTTAAATTAATTTTCTTATTATGCTATTACCTGATTTAGAAAATATCTAGTTTAAAAAATACAAACTATGCACTGATTATTCTAAATTCAAAGAACCAGCATAATTGGTGGTTCTTGGATTATGGCTATGTAATTACATATTTTAAAAAATCCTAAATGCACTAAAACATTTGTTGATATCTATACCTGCAGACTGCCCAACATTGCCCAAAAGAAAAATTTTTTTCTTTTATATGTGGAATTTTAATTAAAGCATACCTGACATTCTTAATTATGGGACAGGATCACATTTTAACAGCATGATATCAGTATTAATTTAGTCACACTGAAAAAAACATAGGTAAAAATAATTTCCAACAGTGATTAATTTTCATTAAACGCTATGTCTAATAATACTGGATTTTTTTTTTTTTTAATTTTTTTTTTTTTTGTTACTTATGCTGCTAAAACCTTCACAAGGACAAATTTTTGGTACATTTTCATTCAGGTGGAATGACGTCTGGTCTTTGTTTAAGAGTGTATGTGTCCTCATTGCAATATCACATGGTGATACTCTTCTGGATGAATATGATAAAGCATTCTGACCCCATCAGCCTTACTTATTCAATTCATCCATAACTTTTTTGGTTATAAATATTTGAACTTTTTTTTTTCATTCTGTTAGAAATTAGAAGTTCTTATACCCTGTAGAAGGAATCAGAGCTAATCATTAGGTTCCTGTTCAGAGAAACCACTTACTGTGTTTGCTCATTGATTGCTCTTCTTCAACATATCTCCTTCTGGAATGAGCACAGATTTAGATTTAGAGGTTAGAGCATCTTCAAAATCTAATAACACTAAATTTAGTATGAGTTGATATGATCTTTTTTTATTATTTAAATTCTGCCTATTTGGTTTAAATATTTCTGTAACAACCTTGCAATTGCTAGTTAATTCTTTCCCATTTGCTATCTGTAACTTTCTTCTCTAGACTTTTAGACAAAGGAGTGCTATCTGTCTGCTTCACAGGATTTCTTAATGTTTGGGATTCGTTGCACAAGCTTTGCCTTTTTTGCTTTCTGACAGAATTATTCTTAGCATAGTAGAAAATCTTAAATGATGATAAATGTTTATTGCAAAATGCTTGTATTGATTGTTTCCAGTGCTGTTGCACTTTCTCCTTCAAAACATTCAGATAAAGAAAAGGTGCTGTAATAAGCCTTTCCTTCTTTATTTTTAGCTGGTGCTAAGTGCAAAGAGCTAATAGGGTTGTTTTCCAAGCATTTAGAGTTTGAGAACAGACTCTGCTGGTTTTATGCAGTTAATGATAGGGAAGAACTATTTTGGATGCACCGAGCCCCTCTTTGCTAGAGCTGATCCTAATAATTATCAGAGCTGATGTTCATTCCTTTTGTTCATCATAAATTTAATTCAACTCTAGAAGATATTCAGGGTGAAATTCTATTTATCAGTATTATTCTGTGCAAAGACTATATAAAATATAAAGCAAACAACAGATTCATTATGAAAGCATCATGTTTGAAATACTGACCATGCATTTTTATAATACATAAAGTCCTGTTGGGCTTAACAAATTGGGTGGGTTAGGTGTCGGGTTTTTTAATTAGAAATGAGTGATCTACTTTTATAGTGGAATCATTTTTGTGTGGCTAAAAACAAGGTTCTAAATTAATCACCTGGGTGCATTTGAGTAATAACAATCAGAATATTTGATTAAAACATTCTCCGTAAACATTCATTGAAGTTATTGATTGTAAATGGGTTTAGTGGGTATTTCAAAACCATCCTTAACTAACAACAGCAACAAGGAAAGCTATATGGGTAAAGCTAATTCATGCATAATACACCTTCTATAGCATTTTTCATTGTAGCTTTATTTTTCAACTTTTTATAAAAATAAAAAATTCCTTCAGGATATGGCTAGGATTGCTAGCTCTCCTTATACAAGTTTATTTTAATGTGTATTTCCCTTACAGTAACCCAGGACTTCTTTTCTGCCTGGTAGGGTATCTTCAGAAGAAAAGATCAACCTCTTGTGGCTTTTTTATTTATTTTTGATGGTATAGCTATAGGTCAGTAGCTATAAAATTCTAATATGTAGTAGAAATCTTTGTCTTTACCACATTAAAGTAAGATTCAGCTTTAAGATGCTCATTTTAACCGTCCTCGTTCTTGTGCATCATGATCCTACATTTATCTCATAGTGTTAATGAATGGAAAACATATCTAAGCTTTGTAATATTTGCTTAGACAGTTGCTACGACACTATTTAACTGATGCTGCAGTCATGACTTCTGTTCCATTACTGTCATGTATACCCTACTGAAATCAGTGAAAGTTGAGAGGAGTTTTTAGCATGCATTCATTGATAAATTCTTCTTATTTGACGATGAAAACAAATAATTAATTAAAATTGGCTACTATTTAACAAGTATAGTGTGTTCCTGTGTATACAATTGCTACAATGATGCCATTTCTGCTTATTTCTGTTGGTTATGTCATTATTAGAAACCTGGTGACTTTTTAATAATTTATATTGAATT